AACACCCAATCATAACAGCAAAAAGAAAAAAGAATCCAAAAAAATGAGGATAGTGTAAGGAGCCTCTGGGACAACTTCAAGCGTGCCAACATTCATATCTTGGGGGTGCCAGAAGGAGAACAGCAAGAACAAGAAATTGAAAACCTGATTGAAACAATAATGGCAGAAAACTTTCCTTAACTTGGTGAAAGAAACAAACATACAAGTCTAGGAAGCACGGAGAGTCCCAAACAAGATGAACCCCAAGAGGCCCACACCAAGACACATCATCATCAAAAAGCAAAAGGTTCAAGACAAAGAGAGAATCTTAAAAGCAGCAAGAGAAAGGCAGTTAGTTACCTACAAGGGAGTTCCCATAAGACTGTCAGCTGATTTCTCAAAAGAAACTTTGCAGGCCAGAAGGGAGTGGCAAGAAATATTCAGAGTGGTGAAAAGCAAGAACCTACAACCAAGATTACTCCAACCTGCAAAGCTGTCATTTAGAATCGATGGCCATATAAAGAGTTTCCCACACAAGGAAAAGGAGTTCATCACCACCAAACCACTATTATATGAAATGTTGAAGGGTCTTCTTGAAGAAAAAGATAAAAAATATAAACAAACAAAATGGCGATGAATACCTATCTATCAACAACTGAATCGACAAACAAAATGAACAAACAGAACAGAAACATTCTCATAGATATAGAGAACATTTTATTGGTTGCCAGAGGGGAGCGATGTTGGGGGAATGGGTGAAAAAGGTGAAGGGATTAAGAAATACAAATTGTTTGCTAGACTGACAAACTTCAAATGGAAGGGGGTTGGGGTGGTGGGAAGAAATAAACCAAAGAACTTATATGCATATATGCATAACCAATGGACACCAATAACAGTGTGGGAAAAGGCAGGAGTGGGACAGGAATGGGGAGGAGGGACTCAATGGGGGAAAAATGAGGAACATCTGTAATACATTCAACAATAAAGATAAAAAAATAAATAAAAAAATAATGCTGCTATGAACATGGGTGTGCAAATATCACTTCAAGATCTTGCCTGGCATTCTTTTGGGTATATGCCCAGAAGTGGGATTGCCGGATGATATGGTAATTTTATTTTTTAACTTTTTGAGAAAGTACCACACTGTTTTCCATAGGAGCTGCACCATTTTACAGTTTCATGGACAGTGCACAAGGGTTCCAACGTCTCCACATCCCTGCCAACATCTGCTTTGTTCTCTTATTTTCATAGCAGCCATCCTCATGGGTGTAAAGTCTCTCGGTGGTTTTTACTTGCATTCCCCTAAGTCGAAATGAGATTTTGCGCTAGAAACAGGTCTAACACAACCAAAGAATTATCATAATTTTTAAAAATTTTAAAGTGCCAGTGCCTCAAAATGCTATGTTGACTGGGAGCGCTGATTCCTGATAGCTCTGTGATAAGAATGCCACAAAGCCCAGCCCCATGCCCACTGGGTAAGACATACAGTTCAGAGCAGACCCAGACAGCAGCGACATCCACGCTGCTCACCCTAAGGAGCGAGTATTAACCATTACTGGCCTCGTGGAAAAAATCTCAGCCCCTAAGTTGGAAGGATGGAAGCTTAAGAAAACTGCTAGAATGTTTCAGGTGTTTCTTATAAAGAATGTTGCTGGGAAAATAATTCTGAATGTGACAAACTGCTGCTAAATAAAACCTGTGCTTGTTCCAGCACCTAGAACTGGTCGAAGCAATAACAGGCTGCCTTCTGCATAGTCGAGCCTGCCTGCTGAGTCCAGGCAATCCTTCTGCTCCACTGCTCACTGTTAATTCATCAAAACAAATGAATACTACAAAAACTCTCTATGCAAAACAGTCTATCTGCGCTTTGCCTCAAAATATCCAGGGTTGGGGAAGGGGTAGAAATTACACAAGATTGGATGAGTTAATAATTTTTGAAGCTAGGTGATGGGAACATGAGCATTCATTATATTATTCTCTTTTTGAAAAGAGAGAACTTCTCTACAAAGGTCTGGTTTGGCATATCATTTTAGACCCTTTCACCAACCTTGTGAGGCAGGTAGATGAGATCAGTATCTCACAATGAAAACATCAAAGGTTGTCAAAGTCACTAGTTCAGGAGAGAGTCCAGGCTGGCCCCCAGCAGTCCCCAGCTGCACTGTGTACATCCTGAGGGCTCTGCAGCCCAATTCTCAGGTCTCACTCCAGTTCCTTGCACATGAAGACAACAAGTCACCACCAAGAACTCAGCAGGGAAGGACTAGGTAGCTTTCCCCACCAGGCACCTGACCTCCCCCTCTGAATTTCCCTACCAAGCTCCCTCAGGCCTCATTTTCCTGACTGTTACTCTTTGTCCTTTCCTGTTCTGCCCCGGTGCACCCTAACTGAAAAATGATTAATTCTCGACTGTGCACATTGTCAATTCTGCAAAACTCCAATAAAGCTGCAACAGCCTCCAATCAGCAAACAGACAACACAACTCTGGATTCATGGACTCCGCTATTTGAATTTGGTGCTGCAAAGTACCATCAGGCATGTGAGTCAAGCTTCCCAAGAGCTAAAATCTGTTCTGACAAGCCTCCAAAGACGAGATAGCAAGACCCTCAGCCAAGGCAGCAGTGGGAGAGTTTCACTCTAGCTGCAAAAATCAAGATGAGAATCAGAGGTCAGGGAATAAGGCCAAGCAAGCACAGTCAGTGGGGATAACGACAGCTGGGTGTACAAGAGACCCAAGTATAAGACTGCCTGCCTGGGCCAGGTGGCTCTCCACTATACAGCTGGCTGGAGAGGTGGGGACTCCAAATGGGGCCAAAGGACTCTCTCCAGACAGGGAGCAATGCAGTCTGGGAAGCCACACATCTCAAGGATGGGACAGCCAGTCCTCCCTTAGGAAGGGCCCTAAAATGTGTCTAATAAGGAACCACATCAATGTCCAGCACCGCCCTACAGCAGGGGCAATGATGAGGTTGGTGAAAAGTGGTCTGAGCACAGGAAAGACCTGGGTGAATGGCCAATCCATTGAACCACACCCTATTTCTCCAGGACAGAAAACCCCCAAATCTTTGAGATAAATCATCAGGAAATAGTGCCTTATAATCAAGGATGGAGAAGTCTTGTAAGTCTGCCTTGTTCTCAAGAGTTTCAGTCCCAACAACTATGTATAGTGAGATGGTTACTAGACTTATTGTAGTGATGACTCTGTAAGTTACATAAATGTTGAGTCACTATGTTGTACACCTAAAAGTAATATGATATTGAATGTCTAGTACAATTAAAAATAAATTTAAAGAAAATAAAAGTTCCAATCCAAATAGGAAACGCCGAAGTCCAAAGTAGATGTGAAATGTGGCATCATGGCCACGCATTCTGTCCTTTCTTCTCCACCTGCCCCCACACAGACACTGGTAGGTGATACCTGCTCACAGCTTTAAAAGCCTCTGGACATGACCATGTATCCTCGCCCCTGCACAACAGAATCAGCACCTGCATCTCTCTGAGCCAATCCCACTGACAACACACACATGCTGTATCCCTTAATCCCTGGACCATCTCCAGCCAGTGCCCAATTGTTCTGCTCCCTTGTAGGCAAAAGTCCTTGAAAGAACTGTCATAAGTCATCAGTCTCCACTTCCTCATATCCCACTGGCTCCTCGGCCAACTCCAGATGGGTTTCGGTCCCCGCCAGAGCAAACAGCAGCTCTGGTCAAGGTCACCAACAACCCCCACCTTGTCAAAGCCAATGACGAGCTTCTGTCCCTTCCTACTTCACCTCCCTGTGGTAGTGCTCACTGCTCCTTCCTACATAAAAGGCTTCCTTCCCCAGGCTCCACAACACACAATCTCCACGTCTTCCTTTCACCTCAGGCCACTCACTCACAGCCAACTTTGGAGTAGACTTCCCTCCAAACCCCACCTCCAGCATCCCAGAGCTCAATAGCTAGACCTCTCTTCTTCTCAGTCAACACATGCTACTTCAGCGGTTTCATCCAGTCCACCCCTTCCGGTGATGGGGGCTAAGACTCCAGAATGGTCACTGACACATGAAAGTGACATTTCTATATACCTGGCAAAGAGACCATTCAAACCCCTCCAACCCCCAAATTCCATCTCAGAACATGGTGCCACCATCTATCTCCTCACTCTGCAGAATCATTCCAAAATCAGATCACACCATCCAACATATAACCTACCAAGAGTTACTACAAAAAAACAGGAAATAATTCCACTACTTACTGAGAACTGTATTGTCCTACATGACCTGGCTCCTGCGTGCCTCTGTCCTCACCTGTGTCTCCTCTCCTCTGTACTCACTCAGCTCCAGCCACATGGTCTTGTCTTCATACCTTGTACATGCCACGCTCATTCCTGCCTCTGGCCCTTTGCAAATGCTGTTCTCCCAGCCTGGAGCTTTCTATCCCAGATTCTGCGAGGCTGCCTCTTCACTCAAATTCAGGTCTCAGTCCACAAGTCACCTCCTTAGAATGTCCATTTCTGACCACCCTGGTCAAGGAGCTTTTCCCTCCCTGCTCCATTGCTAAGTAGGTTAATGCCACTCTTGGTTAAACCCAGCACCACAGGGCAGGGCTTTATTGCCCTTGCCCAGTCTTAACTCCCAGAGCCTAAAACAGGGCCTGGCCCACTGGCAGACACATACAAAATACCCTGCTCCACTGTCTTGTTGGAGCATTCCTGGGGCAGGGATGGGGCAGAGATGGGGGAGACAGGCACATTTCTGGGCCAAAGCCCCAAGCCTTCCTGAACTCTCAAGGCTGGGTAGTCTGGTATTCAATCACCAGACTATCTGGTCCACCTAACTAGCCTGGTTTTCCATCACCTTAGCCTTCCCCATCACAGCATTTAAGGGTCTATAGCATAATTTACTTGTTGCTAGAGCAGGGCTCATCAACCCTGCCCACCCTCCCATCCAGGACCTAAGAGGGGCTGGTGAATCAAAAGCACGTGAAGTATCATGAGTTACAGAATAAAGATTAAGTGGGAATGAGCCGCTCTCATGCACTCACCCAGAAGACGATGTTGTAACTGAAGAGCAGGTACTTGTACCAGCAGCTGACCTCCGCGTTGGAGTATCGATAATAGTGCATCTTCTGAGAAGCAGGATCTGTGGAGAGACGTGGGAGCCATGAAGTGGCAGGTTCAGCTTTGAAACACCTCCCCAAACCTGCTCCCTGAGGAAAGAGCAAAGGTAAGGCTCCTACACAGACTCCAGGAATCTCCAAACTGTACCCCTGTGTTCCTTCACTCATCCAGGGGGTTCACTATCTATGCCAGTTATTAGTCAAAAATCAAGATAAGTCAACTTTGTGAAAACAGCCCAAAAAATAAGTGGAGCACTTTTGAAAGAACAGAGAATGGCGATTTTTAAAGTCTCCTAAATACCAGGACTTCTGCTTGGTGCCTTCTCACACATGCATCTCATCACCTCTCCACTGGGTGCCTGTCTCCCCCATCTCTGCCCCATCCCTGCCCCAGGAATGCTCCATTGATTTTTCCACTTCATGGTGGAGGAAACAGGAGTTCAGAAAGGTTATGTGACTTGCTAAAGGACTAAACAAAAAATGACAGGCCCCAGGATCTGAACCAAGAACAGGATTCCATGGCCCATGTTCCTTGTACCTGTCACTACTGGGGGCAGAGCAGCCAGGAGAGTCAAAGGGAGAAATGGGGACTTGACCACTTTGGGGAGGTGAGACAAAGGCCAAGTCTAACAGTGGACAGTGAAGAAAAGCCAGAATTAAGGCTCCAGATTTGTTCATCTAAGATTTTCGGAGACAACCTCCCAAGCTCAGCCCTTAGAGGCGAGGAAGGCGAAGCACCCTGGCCAGGTGGAGAAATCCTATGAGGCCAGCATTCACCCTACCCCTTCTTCCTCTTTCTCCCCTGCTTAACCTCTTCTCCACCCGACCCCACTCCAACCCACTGAGACCACTGCTTTGGCCTTAAACTACAAAACACTCGGAAACTGCACAGTGAAGGGTGGGGCCGCTCTTTTTCATCTGTCCATCCCCCAAAGCCTCTAAGAGAACCCTACAAAAAGAAGGTATCCTCCAAGGGCATTCAGAGGGCCTGACCCACCTTCACTACTCTCCTTTTTGAACCCAGTGGCAATCCTCCCACTTTCCAGAGTGAGAAGAGGGGCATAACATAACAGGACGAAGGCAAAAACAGACAAGTGAGGACCCAAGACGCCCACACCCCAGTAAGAACGGAGCTGCTGCCGTGCTGCAGGAGAGGCTGCTGCACACCCCGTCCCTGAGGGGCAGCCCCGACACCTGGCTGCTGTTCTGAGAAAGTGGTGCCAAACGGAGACATGCAAACCACATCCCTCTAGAAATGTGTACTATGACTGCTCTTCCCACAGGGCCGAATCAGGCACAGTCTGGACACCACCACTCACCCATTCCCCTCCCTCCAAGAAGAATGGTCAACGGCCTGCTGAGAGAGACAAGACGGTCTCCAAAGCCAGGGAGAGGGCAGCACCCCCCAGTCCCACCTCCCCATCATACCATCAGAACAGCACTCCTGCAAAAGTACCCTCCAAGAACGAGTGTGAACACAGCCCTGAAGGACACTACCTGACACAAGGACACACTGCCTGGGCCACAAAGGTGGCTGCAGTGAGAGGACCAGGAGCTCCCAGGAGATTCCTTCCTTCAGCAACTTGGCCTGACCCAGGGCAAGTCCCTACCCTCTGAAGACCTCAGCATCCTCAACTAAAACAGGGCTCTTACCCTGGCCGGTTTGGCTCAGCGGTTAGAACGTCGACCCGTAGACCAGAGAGTCCCAGGTTCTGCTCCCGCTAAGGGCACGGACCTTGGTTTCAGTTTGTCCCCGGCCCCGGTTAGGGTCGTGTGGGTGGCAAGCACTCGATGTGTCTCTCTCACATCGATGTTTCTCTCTCTCTTCCTCCCTCTCTCCTTCCCGGTCTATCTGAAGATAAAAGCAAAAAAAGAAAAAGTCTTCGGGTAAGGATAAAAAAAAAAAAAAACAAACAGCGCTCTTGGTGACCGAGCCTGGTGTTGAGGAGACCAGCCGGCATCATCAGAATGACTGGTTCTAAATAAGGATTTCCAGGCCCTTCACTCTGGAGGTTCTTCACCCACTTGATGATTCCTCCTTATGAGAAGAGAAGGCACTCAACTCACTAGCAAGGTAGGGAGAGCTGCCCCACACCCACCCTCAGCCGTACCCACCACTTAACCTAGGAGCAGGGAGCAAAGGCTGCCCCTTACTCTTGCACTGCTCTCTGCTTTGCAGGCCAGGGCTGGAGAAGCAGGTCCTGAACATCAATGTCTCACACACAAGGAGGAGCCTACTGTCCACATAAGCACAGCACAGAACTTAAACTGAAGGAGGTAACAAGACGACTTGTTTGGACCCCAGCCTGTCACATCCTCCAACACAGGGCCCACTGGCCTCTGGTTTGTAGGGAATACAGCCAATGCTGAGCTCCTGGCTCGGTGCCTTCAGAACCTCAATGCAGGCAAAGAGATTGATGAGAACTGGGCTGCCTACCCAAGGTGTGAGCCTCATTTACAAAGAACCCCAAGAAGGCAATAAAGGCGGTGGTGCTGAAACTACAACACAGATCAGACCCCAAATTCAGCCAAAATGACTCCACAGTGACTGTGGTCCCTGACATCTCATCTTATTTGTTAAACTGAGTCACATCAAAGAAATCTAGTTCTCTACCAACTAATGAATTCAATGAGCACCAAGACCATTTTACCTTAAAACACAGAGACTGAGTCTTTGCTTCCAAAAAAGATGTATAAACTCTGCACAAATACTAATTACCACTGCCAACAGAGAAGGCTCATCAAATGCTACTTTGTGGGGTTTTTATGCATAGAAAACAATAATTAGAAAATATGTAATTCCGCCCTGGCCAGTTTGGCTCAGCGGTTAGAGTGTTGGCCTGCAGTCCAGAGAGACCTGGGTTTGGTTCCCGCTAAGTGCACGTACATCAGTTGCAGTTTGTCCCCGGCCCTGGTTGGGTCATGTGGGTGGCAACCACTCGATGTGTCCCTTTCACTTCGATGTTTCTCTCTCTCCCTCTCACTCTATCTGAACAAAAAATGGAAAAAATGTCCTCGGGTGAGGATAAAAAAAAGAAAATATTTAAGTCCAAGTCCTCAAACTGTCTCAACTCCACAACTGCCCAGCCGGTGTGGCTCAGTGGTTGAGCATCGACCCCTGCACCAAGAGGTCGCCGGTTCGATTCCTGGTCAGGGCACATGCCCAGGTTGTGGGCCCAATCACCAGTGGGGAGCATACAAGAGGAGGCCAATCAATGTTCTCTCTTATTGATGTTTCTGTCTCTCCCTCTCCCTTCATCTCTCTCTAAAATCAATAAAGGAAGAAAAAAATTCAGACTTAAAATACTCCAGTTTTAGAAAAATGGCAAAGAAAATGCATGACTAAGAATTTGCCTTAAGAAAATAAACCCAGAGAAGAAAATAATATGGGTGAAATATGAAATCATGGTTTGCAATTATGAAACAACTTGTAAGCATATGGCTAAAGGCCAAAATGAAACATGAAAGCATGAAAATGGTTGCATAGGGTGATGAATTTGTAAGTGATTTTCTCAAAAAATTTCCATTGTCACACTTATCGTTACCATCTTTGTATTATCAATGTAAACTGAGGCCACTGCTGCTGGGGGGCGGAGAGCATGCCAGCTTGGAGGATGCTGGTCCCCCAGTGTGGTGACCTCAGCAGTAACTGTAAATGGGGCTGGTCTACCTTAGGATTATATTAACCTATAAGATTCCTTCCTCCTCCTCTCCCTGTCACTTTTTAAAAATATTTTTATTGATTTTTTTAGAGAGAAAGGAAGGGAGAGGGAGAGAAAGAAACATCAATGCCAGAGCAAAATATCAATGGGCCGCCTCCTACATGCCCCCGACTGGGGATCAAACTCCCAACCTGGGCATGTGCCCTGACCTGGAATTGAACCAGCAACCTTTAGATGCACAGAACAAACTCAACCAACTGAGCCACATCAGCCAGGGCTCACCCTGTCATTTTAATTACAAAAGCAGCACATGTTCAATTGTAAAATATTTCAAGAACAGAAGTGTGAAAAGTGAACCGGTAATGAGAAAGCACTAAACAATGGCTTTCACCTTTTCTACCACGGCCCACAGTAAGAAACACTGTGCACACTTACATGCATACTCAACTAAAACGAGTTTCATGAAACAATACTTCCCCTTATTACATGGCATGCATTCTAGACTTGCTGCTGTTTTAATTTGTTATCAAAGAAAAAAATACCCCTACACATAATCTAAGAATCAACTATCATAAATGCTGTGCTGAGAGAAACAGCAGATGCTAGGACCTAGGCCAGGCCACCCTCTTTCCCAGGGACACTTTCAACTTCGCGCTGATCTTGATGTTGTTAAAGACAAAAAATTACAGACCCAGCATGCAATCACTTGTGCTAGAAGCCCCTGGTACCAAACCTAGTGTTAATACCTAATCTAAATGCAGTTTCTACCTCTACCAGAAACATAATCTTAATTAACCAGTCTTGAATTTTCTGGTCAAGCACCAATGCTGTAATCTTTCACACGGGCCCTCTCCACGTCCCCCTACAGAAAGCAGAGGCAATCTGCATGATAACCCCCCCCCTACCCCCAAAGAAGAGATTTCCAAGTCCCAAAATAGTGCTTCCTTTTGTTAATAGCTCCCTTGTCTCACCCTTCTTCCGATAAAAACCTTCTATTTTGTACAGTGCCCCTGAGCACCCTTCTATTTGCTGGATGAGATGCTGCCCAATTCACGAATTGCTTATAAAATTTTCAAATTTACTTGGCTGAGTTTTTTCTAATAGTGCTCACACCCCAATTATCTCTTAGAAATTTCTGTATATAATAGGTTTGTATTATTACCACAGCTTTTTCAGTTTTAGTTATTACTTATCTACTTCCTGAAAGATAAGAATGTAACTTGACACCCCTCACATTTCTTTCCCAACTATAGTTAACTCCAATTATAGTTAAACTATAGCTTTGGCTAGAGAAATGTTCAGTTTACATTATTATGACTATGTGAGCCACCAGAGTGAGCGAGTCACACAAATCATAATTA